GAGGACATTAGAGGAGACCTCCATTAGCTGTGGCAGAGATCCTCGTGTCTGTAAGGAGGGGGGCATGGGGAGGCAGGCGGGGACCAGTGGAAGAGGGAAGTCATCTTGAATCTGCACCAGTGCCTCTGCTGCAGCCCTGTTGCCTAGCAGTCAAAAATATTTACTGTTCAGCAAAAAGTGTGCAGGATTTTTTTTTCACATTCTGGAAAAGTGAAAACAATGAGACTTATCCATCTAAATTAATCGCAGGGGCCCCTGCCAGTTAAGGTCTGGAATGTTGATCTTGTGATAGGCTGGAGTAGTGTAACCGTGCAACAATCTGGATCTGATTGGGTCAGACAGGTTGAATTTTTAACTCTCTCAGTCAAGAAGTTTGAGAAATGCCTGTTTGTGCGCATGTGTGTCAAAACACATCCCCGCAATGACAAACCGAAGAAGGGCTGTATTTTCCTGCCATCACAACTGTATGTTTGTTTCCATGGTGAGTTGCGCGGCAATGTCTGGGTGGCCGTGGGGTATTTTGTTTGCACTGAAGCCCACTTTGCTGCAGTCTGCATGGTGACGGTACAGTCTGGTGTGGCAGGGAACTGATTTGTGGAGCGTCGACAGGGTGAACGGGTTTCACCCACAGATGCTCACTCCAGCTGGAGGGGATTTCGGATGACATGTAACCGCCTGGAACAACACTGTGGCTGCTGTGAGTGGGTATAAGGAATAAAAGGGACCACACCTAGAAAAGTGACAGGGCAGATCTAAAACCCAAACGAAATGAAAATGCTGTAATAGAATGGACAGGCTTGGAAATAAGGAGTCGGTGTCAGGAAGGAGCCTTAGAAATAGGTAGAGCGTTTAAGGTCCTCCTGTGTAAGAATTAATAGCGGCTTTCACACACGAACTTCAGACAGTTTCTAGGGAATCAGGTTAAGAGGCAGCACACACTACATCCACTCACCACTAAAGAATGTACCAGACAATACAATATTCACACACCAGCATACTCCAGCATCGACAACATCAAATGGACCTCTGTTGAAGTACAGATGTGAAAACAGCTTACAAACGCAATGATTCCATGGCATCAAAACTCTATGAAGAGTTGTTTGTCCAGTTACAGAGTTAAAGGCCTGTAACTGGACAAACAACCTAATCATCTGATTCAGGTCTGTTGACCCAGGGTGATATCTAAAACCTGCAGGACACCGGCCCTTGAGGCCTGGAGTTGGACACTCCTGGCTTACAGTGAAAAAAAAAGGTTATTTTAATGCAACAGATGCCAACCTCTGGGGCAGCAATGGGGCAGAATCACCTTTTAAATCTAAACATAGTGATATGATATGCACACAAGTAGTTCTCTGGTGTCTGTGTAGCCCCCATTACTAATTAACCAACCAACTAACCAAAAGCTAACTATGCCAAGCATAATAAATTGCTATTCATTATATTTCCATTTTTATTGCTTGTGTATATAGTAGATCTTCCATGTAATTAGCAAAGCCTGTTGTTTCCTGTTGTTTAGGGCCATAACTGCATTTCGATCGTACACTCTGTATAAAACGTGGATGTACTCCACGGTCATGGCTCCTTTTGTTGGAGAAGTTCTGTGTTGAAGCCGCAGCCTGAACATTTTGGCTGTGGCCATCTTGTTTTTTTGAAACCAGATGGAAACTGACTGGTCATACAGTAGCAATTTGTCAATTACAAGGTAGCCATGCCTTGATGCATAACCTGCTTCATCATCAAAGAAATTTAGTTTCAGCTGCTCTCTTACTCACAAGAAGTCACAAAGCAGATAGGTCTGCATGGTTGATTTGGTAGATTTTTAAACCAGATGCAACCCCAAAAGGATTTGAAGTGGACTCTTTCACTTGTTGGGAAATATGTAAACCACTACACTACGGAGCCACTTAATGTCTATTAACATGATGCGATTTTAATATGACTTGAAACTAGTTTAAGAACATAAACTCATTAGGAAAGGCCAGTGGCTCATGTGAGCAATGGGCTCATTTCCTCATAAACTTCTATACAGTATGACCTCATTTTGTAACTCAAGAGTTCGTCCCTTGCTGGCTATAACAAAGAATTCAAGTCTCTCTATACTGGCTTTAGCTCTCAGACAAGAAGGCTATGGCCATCTTTAATATATACATGTTTATGGTTTAGATACAGAAAAGACAAAGACAACAGTGCTTCTGTTATTTATTTGAAAAACATCCATTACTTGTAACAAGAGGTTCTTGCTTTAGTCTGCTTTACTGAAACAACGTGACACTTTTAATTCTCCTGGCTTGTCTGCGTTTGAATAAACCAATAATGCAAGTATTGTGTGTTTGCATTTCTAAGAAGCTGATCAAATGGTTGGAGGGGAACTACTACTACCATAAACTCCAAATCAAACAACAACATGTGTTGTTAGTCCATACATTGTTGAACATAAAATACATTTCTCATAAAGTTATTGGTGGGACTCACCAGACCCCCGACGATATGATACTATCACAATATTTCACTCACGATACAATATTATTGCAGTTTTTGACATTTGGTGATAAGCTCAGTATTGCAATAGTATTGGAATAACATCTACTGCAATTTATCACCTTTTTTCAACTGCAAATGATGTCCTCAAAATAAAAATTTGTCCATATCGGTTTTATCCAATAACATAAAGTTATCAATGTCGTTTTTTGGGGGAGGGTTTTTTTTTGCTCCAAAATGACACTGTCAAGCAACACTGTCACTAAAACCTTCAATAAATATTGCCATAAGATGGAATCAGTCTGCCATGAATCTGATATCAGTCTGCAATTGAATAAGATCAAGTGGAAATGTTATACTCTGTCAAGCTAAGTGTGTCCAGGGTCGTTTCAGCCAATTTATGGTAAGTTAGCTCGACTAACCTTGTCTCGGGATGACGGTGCAGAAGACGAGCCCTCTTGGCCCAGGGTCATCGCTTGTTGTTAGTCTAATATATTTTCAAGTATTTGTTATTTATTCATTCATTAATATCAATATTATCAATATTTTTATACAATATCGCCACACAAAATATTCCAATATGCCAAACTGATTTTTCCCTACATCTTTAGAGGCTATGGTTATAACTTGGATGAAGGAAAGAACGTAGTACACCCTACCTTGTCAACTGGACGCAAACAGATTTGGGAGCAGTCCACTCAGTGGTTGACCCAGACATTGTTTCAAATCACTTTTCAAAAGCACTTAAATATTGTTGGAATAGTCACCCATATGTTGAGATCAAACTATAATTAAATTCATAAAACAGTGAAAAGTGTGGTTGCTTACATCATAAATTACTCCCCTTCAACTGAAACTGCATGAAGCAGCTTTAGGACGTCCATGAAAAACTTGTATTGTGGTACTTTCTGTCAGTCTGTGTTAATGTGCCGCTTACAGCTGGAGCTTTTCTAAATCAACAAAAAAGCAAGCTCAGTAACCAAATATGATATATCTTGAGGCAATCAACCAGCATAGCTTACTCATGTTACTTTTGCTGGTGATCTGCTAAATGCTTTCTGCTACTTTATTCCTGCATGTGTGTGTATTTTTTGACACAATTAGCATTCCCTTTGTATGTTTAAAACCCCCAAACCTACAAAAATCCTTTACTTTAGCGATTATTGTCATTCAAATTGCCAGCACTTCTAGTGAGTGTTAAACATGCCTTCACTATTTTCATAGATTTTCATATATTATTGACATCTCCTAATTTTACAGTATTAATCTAATTGTGTACAATTAGCTGAGGAGATAAGAAAAAAGCAAAGTCTCCCACATCTGAGCAACACACCCCGAACTGCAGCCTGAGCTTCAACAATGAGTGCTGGAAAACAGGCGTTTCAGATGCTCACACACAGAAAGAAAAAAAGGAGAGGGAGAGGTTCCTCTGCAGTTGTAACACACACCAACACCCAGCTGGCTGGCTGTGTAACACCAGTCTGCCCTGAATTCAACCCCCCACCCCGCTCCACCCTGAATGCTCTGAGCCGACCCTGAATCTTTCTCCTTGTGGTGATGCAGAAATACAAGCACCCCTTCACAAGGCCAGCTTATCACAGATGGGCGTGTATTTCCCCCACCTCTCTTCTCCCTCTGTCCCTCTCACTCTCTGCTGCTGCACCAGCCTGAAAGACAAACCCTGTCTATGATTTCCGAGGCCCCCCTATGAAATCACAGAGAGGGCTTTTTTTCCTGCAATAAAACAATTAAGGGCTTCAGGCGAAACAATGAGTTCATGTATAATAAGTGACCATTATTTTTCGGACCCCCTCCCCCCTCCTTTTTCAGTCATTTGCAAGCGTCCAGGGCATTGTGACCAGAATGTGCATTGATACTTTTATGTATGTCATGAAATCACTGTGCACCAAAATGGCAAGAAGGGTATTCGAAAAATGAGATCAACATTACTGTTCAAAATCCTCCCATGAACAACACCAGCTGGGCCTTAAAAAGCCCCACAAGGGTTGGACACGTTCTTCTAATATCTTTACGCTGTAAATCTAGGTGGAGTGTAGGGGAATAAATCTAATTAACTGCATTATTCTAAATATATAAGAATAAGTTACATATTTTAAATCACCATAAAGTCTCCGTTATGCACTGAAGACAGCAGAATTCCCGGCATAAACCTTACAGTGATTTTTTTAATGGGCGAGCCGGTATCCGTTCTGCACAACGGCATGGATCGCTTCAACAAAGAGGATGCAGGACACCTTTAAGAAAACGCCTTATCTCCCTGCCTGACTGTCACTATGGTAGCCAGACATGCCATATCATTGCGCGCATTGTTCCAGCGGCTTCCTGCAGTCGGCTCTGACAATAGAAAGAGCATTTTCATGTTGCTCTGAGCTTGCATCGGTGTATGTGACAAAGATCCATCGCAGCGGCGCAAAAAAAACGCTGAAACCTTCTGCAGTGATTTGAAGCAGCAGCCATCAAAGTTCCTGCAGCCAGTGAAGGAGAAATAACTCTTTACTCACTGTGATCTTTGGGATGTTCTTTTTTCCTTGATAAGACATCTTCTGTTCGATTCCACCTTTTCTTTTTTTTTTTTTTAAATACCGAGCTTTTAAAAGCGATATTCCTCCGTTTATGGATGCTGCAGCGGCCCTCGCCTGGATGGGAGCTTCAAGGAATAGTCGCCCCTCTTGTCAGTGCGATGTGGAGTGGCTCGCAGAGTGCTATAGGAGCGTCTGTGGTCCAGGCACACGGCCCCTCCCTCAGTATGTTCAGTTTGGAAAGCGTGATGTCACAATCTTTCCACCGGAGGGCGCAGTGGAGAAGCTGGTGAACAGCCTCCAGCAGGCATCCTCTTCTTTGCGTTACATTGCTGTCACACGTTGTTTTTTTGTTTTTGTTTTTTGTTTTTTATATAAAGTGTGCTGCGTATCCAATATCTGTCATCACTGACCTATCCGAGAGAAATAGCAAAGTCCTTGAAGCAGCTGGTTTTGAGGCGCACTCGTTTGTGGTGTAGTCTGCGCCTGTGTGTTTACGGCTGAAGTCACTGAGGTCTGATTGATTAGGGGAAAATTGGCAGAACTAAGAGGAAACAAAGGAACATGGGATAGAAATCACCATCGTTATTATAAACAATATGTAATGGAAAGATTTACTCATTTTAAACATGTCCACTGACTTCACTGCCGTGTGTTAATCATACATATTGGATGTTTAAAATTTTGCCAGTCTGCTAAATAGATTTATTGGCAAGAAAAAAAAAATTCCCTTTGAAATTGTAGATTTATATCAGTCATAGCCAGGAGGTTGTGTGTTTTGTTTTGCGGGACACAGAAGAGCAAAATGGTGTGGCAGCTGTCACAGAGCTTGCCCGTAACATTGCACACACGCACACACACACACACACACACACACTCTCTGCATGTTCCCACCCAGCCATGTGTCTCCATTGTTTGAACCTAAAGTGGGTCCCTCTTCGCTCTGCCACTCCCCTCCTCAGCTCTAATGCAGCCATAATGAGATCCTGAGAGTGACATGCATGTAGAAGCAGGTGCGTGACAAAGGGTGTGCCTATTTGTGTGTCTATATTACACTAGCAACTTAAAATATGTATATATATATATCATACTTTCATTTGCTTGATTTTGTCTTTTTTTTTTTTAAATATTGCTTTACAGAGTAATGTAGGAAGGTTTTACAGCACAGTTCTACCCAATTGTTGTACAAAAATAAGGGTTTAAATCTTCTTCTTTTTTTTTTGCTACAAGCAGACACAGGGCCTTCATCCTGGCATGTCCTTTCATGGCAGTGAGGCAGAAAGGCATTACCTCAGCATTTCCAGGACTTGGAGAATGCATCAGCGCTACACACTCAAGTTTGCAGGATTGCTACCTCTGCAGACCACATTAACCGGCTGACACTGACAGACAGACAGGGTGCAGACAGATCAGGGATGCAGAAAAGTCTCTGTCAGGTCATCAAGCCTGTTGGAGCACATTTCACACCACAGTGAATGGAGTGAGAAGCTTCCAGTTCACTACCCAACAATCATATAAAATTATATTATCAGTTTACACACAAGCACAATCATGCTGACCACCTCAGCCACTATGTGATCTCTTCATATAGATGACATTGGCGAATTGAAGAAGACTAAATGATCTGGAGTTGTTTTGTGGTAGTGGGACAATTCTGAAAATGCGGGGGGAGGATAAAGCAAATAGGCTACGCAGAACGCAGAATTAAACCTCCTAAAATTTTGCTTAACTCTAAACATTTAAGGCTCTATCAATGCTCAGTCTTGACCGATATGAAGACATATGAAGCAGCATTCTTCTTAGTGTTTATTTTTGGTCCCTTTTATGATTCATTCTCCCAAAACACTGAATATATTTGTGATACAAAAGCATCTCTTTACTGCACTCAATATAATTAGAGTTATTTTTCAGACTTAACCATAGGGAGGCACAGACATCCTCTGTTTCTATCTGCTGATTATAAAGACTAAACTGAGTGTTATATGCAACATTAGTAGAGTGCTTATTTCATTTGCTCCTAGAGTATCTCTGTGACAGCTTAAAGAAGCACGTGTGTGCATGTTTTAATTTAGACAAGTCTACATGTCAGTGTATATGTATAGTTTTATGCTTTCTGAATACATGTGTCAATGTGACTTCCACCCTGCAGGACATCACAAAAAAAAAAAAAGATGGGGTTGGGGCCATTTCCTCTCTCTCTGGACATCTGGTTAGCCAGTCTCCATTATTCACTCCACTGCAGCAGCTCACAGCACTAATTAGCCCACCAGACAGGAGGAAAACCAGTAAAATCTATAATTATGATTGTTATTGTTCAGTATTACTACAGCGAACAGGGAACAACACAGGAACACATAGTGAGCAGTTCAGTTCACCATAGCCACAAAACAACGAATGATATTGAGAGTTTGCATGACAATGTCAATAATATCATGACTTACTGTAGTTCAAATCAAAGTGAACCAGGTGTACTCAGATAGGAAGGAGGGGTAACAACATTTGTCATAAAAATACAAACGGGCAGCTTTTCCACTCGTCATTTGTTTGCCAGACGAGGATGCTGTTAAGTTTTATTGGCACGCTAAATGTACCAGTTAATAACAAAGGGATAAACACATCCTGCCTTCCCTGTGCCCTCTAACAATTTCCAAACCAGGGGAAAAAAAACAAACCTTACTCTATTGTCTGCTGGTTTCTGCTGAATCATCTGGTCCCCTGAAAGCAGCAATATTGCAGTTCAGTATCAGGCCACATGAGGGAAAAAGGCCACCTGCCACACTGAAGAAATCTATGTTTATTTTTTTACAGTATTTTAAGACAATTAAAGGCGGGAATGATTCAGAAGGCGGGAATCAAATATATCATAAGGATAATGTGAAGACTTAAATGCAGATAAATGTAGAGTGCAGCAGCTTAGTCTCAAACTGTCTGAGACTGAATGAATAACAGCACTTGAACCACAGAGGTGTAAACAAAAAAGGGAACACCATTTAACTGCAACGGTGGGGAAAAAAGCATGTAGGAAACCTGTACTCAAAGAGATAGAGCTCCACAGCTTCAGTCAGTTTACTTGCATTACTCACACAAAGGTCTGTCAGTCTACTGCTTTGTTGCTGAGTCTCTGTTAAATGAAAGTTGGATAAGAGTGCAGATCTGCCTGTGCAGCAGAAACAACAGCAGGCAGTCATATATTAATTAGTGACCAATCTGAAGATGAAGGACTTCCATCATCAAGAAAGGCAATCTGTGTCAGAGAGTTCTGTAGTTTTAAAGTTTTTAAAGTGTAAACTGACAATCCCATTGTTTTCCAATCTTTGTAGGAAATATTAGCAGCCAGAACTTCCCCACATTCTCTTAAATGCTGTGTAGCACATAACAGCAAACCTTAAAGCTGAAATTCAGCTCTAACATACTATGCGGAGATCATTTTAAAATGTTTACCAAGGTCTGCTACTAATTTCATTCTAGAGTTGACATCACCATAATGACTTTTATTAGATTCCATTTGTCTGTAATCTATGACATCTTGCTCTATATTAACTTATTGTGTAATCTGCTTAACTCTTTCCTGGTCTTTTTAAAATCTGTTTTCTCCGTCCGTGCTTCAAAGAAGTACTCTTGTGTGCCAATAAATGACCACATTCTGGTGATGAAATGGCAAAATGGTAATCACACCACTTTGTCTAGTCCAGTGATTCTACTGCTCTCAGCCAAAATTGTGTGTGTGTGTGTGTGTATTGAACAAAAGCCAGAGAGCGAGACATGAATCATCATCTTTTGGTGCCTAGAGTGTACTGCTCTAAGCCAGTGTCAATTAAGAGTGGATGAAGTGAATTTTTAGAATAGTTGCTAGGTCACACATACAAATATTATCATCAGTTCTTGTCCCACACTTATGTTATGGCAAAAAGCAGTACTCATACATTTAGAGCCCCGATGGATTGACTTTATCCAATGTATTTTTTTTTTTTACAAAAAAGTAGCATTATAAGTATCCCTTTCTTTCCTGGAATATAGAATATGGAAACACTTCAGAAACAACCTTTTTTTTTAAATATATATATATATATTACTGAAATAGCACAGTTAGAGAGAAACTCTAATTAAATTCCAATTAGGGGTACAAGGAGTTCATGAAGTATGTGAAAAGCTTATCTCAAGTAATCTGCCAAAGACAAAATTCAAATTTATTAATTGAGTGCGACCAAAGCAGAAATGTTTAACAAAAAATGAATAATTACAAATATAAAAAAAGCAATAAAAGAGCCAGCTTAAATTACAACAGCTGATTTTTTTTATTTAGTAGCACAGATAAAGAGTTCAAATAGACAATAAATAGCTTACGTGAAGAAAACTAATAAGTAGGAAGTAATAGCTAAGAGTCAATGGTAAGCTGAAAGTAGTACAGAAATTAGTAAAATAACTTGAATTAATTTGTTAAGAGGTTAAGTAATAAAAAAAAAAAAACTAATTGCTGAAAAATTTATTTCCACTTTTGGGTAGTTAAGCGTAAAGTATAACTATATAAATTAGGTTAGAAAATTCCATCTGTGCTGTTGTGTTGTCTGGTCTACTGGGTTGATTCAGATAAATGGGTTGTGAATCACTAATATAAAGTAATTATTACCTTTACTTAGCACTGGATTCTTTCCGTGGTGCTTTTGTTTGTGTCTCTCTCTCCATGGTGCTGAAAGACTTGTGTCATTTTTAATCACACATAACAGACACAAACGTACCTTTTCTCAATATCAAAAATTAAAATGCAAATGTTTAAACGGTATAGAGTTTCCCAAATAATTTGTAAGGACTTTAAGCATAATGGAAAAGGTATCAAAGATGTTCAAGTGTAACATAAGTATAAGTATTATTAAGTATAAATATAAGAAGCGTTAAGTATTAAAGGAGTATTTCACCAGACTAAGACACAGAAAACATTATTCATTTAGATACTGGTTCTTTTGTGGCGATCCAATAGAATATGGATGCTTATTGCTAGCACACACTACCTTTATAATAT